AGGAAGGAAGGAAGGAAGGAAGGAAGGAAGAAAGATAGATCAGAAGACCTTGGCTCTAATTCTGAACAGCTTTCTAGCCATACATAGGATTTCATCTTCGGGCCTTGTCTCCTCATCTACAAACAGAACAAATGCTCTTTGGATTCCTCGTGGAATGTTGTGCACGTGTAATTGTGACTCAGTGTGCTCTAACACTAAAATTGCAGGCTGATATGGTGAGACTGCCTTAACACTTCATCTTAAACCTTTTTGTCCCCCTAAAGGCAGGCTAAACATACATGATGAAGTTCTTGGGGAACAATAAATCACTAACATTCAGTACCTTTTGCCATCTTTATGGTTTGATTTCTTGCAGGACACATTTATATGCCATGCCATGACACAAAGTTTTGCCATGGGCTCAATTTCCCCTAGAGACTTTGTCGACGTAGTCTGCATCAAGCACTATGAAGGGAATATCGACATTATCAGTAGTAAGTTGAAACGTTTGCCCATGTTTTAGAATTACTATGTGTCGTTAAAAATGCTTTGCCTTTGTTGGTATTAAGGGTTTAGAAGAAACTGTAGTTCCAAATCCTTTTGTGTTTGTTTGTTTATTCGGTGCAACCAAAAAGCTTGTGTCATGTACACAGGTGAGGTTTTCCCTAGCCCAAGAGTTGCTGCTTAGATAAGTTGTTCCTGGACTTTCACAGTGTGAACTGAGGAAACAATACAGACAGAGATGTAGCTAAAATTTCAGTGCATGCATTTTTAATCCTATGAAACAAAACTAGTTTTTTATATACAATTTTATACTTGTTTAAAATGGGTATATATAATAATTGTTACATCACTGAGTATAAAATATATTGCTGGGTGTGTCTTTCCTTAAATGTGCCTATATCTCTTCTAGGGAATGCAAGTTTTACTGTAACCCTACTCTGCTCTGCAATAACGTGACTATGAAATATAAATGTATGATTATTTGCTAACTTGTGTTACTGGCACAAAACCTTTTCACAACACAAGGGTGTGAACTCTGCAAGCTTAAACTCATATACGATGAAAGTTACTTAGCTAGTGATGGCACACGCCTTTAATCCCAGCACTCAGGAGACCAAGGCAGGCGGATCTCCATGGATGCTCCACTAGTTCGCAGCCAGCCTAGTCCACTGAGTGAGTTCCAGGACAGGTTCCAAAGCTACACAGAGAAACCCTGACTTGGCGGGAGCCGGGGGGGGGGATGAGGAAGGGAGAGAGGAGTGAGAGATAACAAACTTTGGCAGAGTAGCAGCAACGATCCCAATTTTCCTCTTGAATTTGATTTAATCCTATAATTTCTGTAAGGACGTTTCCTCTCCTGTGAGATCCTCGGGAACAGACAATGAAGCCGTGTTATCACTTCCCAACACTTAAAAAGGGATGACTCCGGTAGTCTGTTTCACAAACAAAACTTCTCGTCCCTCTGACTCAAAGCCAGCTTTTCGGATCTTATAGCAGATTATTAAAGATGGAGGTCCTCAATGTATACATAGTTTAATCATTGGTTTTAAAGTTTTAGCACATAAAATGTTTTCACTACCTACCATATGAAATTTTGCCTTTTCTAGACTTAGGTCTGTAATTTTCCATATCTTGAAAACAAGTCATTTCTAGCCTCTATTAATAGTTAGAGGGCAGGTAAAATAACAGCTACAGTTTTAGCTCAGGGTCACGGTGCTGTCATAGCCACACGAGGCCCTAGACTCCATCCCAGCGGAGCAGAGTAAGAAGATAATTTTAAAAACGAGGCAGAGGCAGGTGAAGCTCTAAGAATTTGAGGCTACCCTTGTGTACATAGAGAATTCCAAGCCATATAGAGACTACACATTGAGACCCTGTTTCAAACAATAATAAATAGATAATTAAGTATTAATAGTGTATAAGTGTAAACTAGTGACTAGGAATATCTATTCACTTTGTGCAGCAGCAAAGCTAACGTTTCACACATTTCCGCTGAATACATGTTCGGTGACTGGCCAGCTTTCTCCCTAGTCCCTTACAGCTTTTCTCTGTGCCTTGCTTGGAGCTACATATTTTGTCTGTAGAGTCTCATTAAGGTTGCAACTCAAGTTTCCAGATATTGAGCATAAAAAATATTGATTTACCTGAATAATAAGCTCCTGAACTTAAAGCTCTAGTCTTTCAGGTCTTCAAAATAAATGCTCACTGCCGCAGTACCTGCCTCACCAAAGACTCATACTGTTTGGAAAACGGTAGCAGATTTCACAAAAGAAAAGAACTACAAGCATAGCTCCATGTTTTAAGTGGAAACTATTCTGTGTCACTCTGGCACCCATCCTCCCAGGACAATGGGCTCTGTGCAGAGAGCCATCCATAAGTGGGAATGCATTGGCCACGCCGCTCCTCTGCACTGGAGCTGCGCTTTGCAGTGTGCACGGACTTGTGAAAATAATTCAGGACAATTCCTGTGCTCTGGCTGTAGTAATAGTTACGTATTTTTAAACTATTTAAAAATAAGTAATCACTGTAAATTTATTGAATCACTTCCCTCTGTTCATTACAACATGCATATTCTCTGTATAATTAATTACTAAGGCAAATTATACTAAGTTTTCATTACACTTTGAAATTAGTACATGGGATTAACAGAAGAAAGCATTTGAAGTGTCTGAGTACTCCAGATATTTCATGGAAAATAAAAGTATTAACAAAAATCAATGAGTCCCAATAAAACAATCTCTTTTATGCTTTGTTCTTTTGTTCCAAACCTCAGAAAGTAACTAAATGATGCTTTGGCAGAGCTTTCTTGCATAAAACATACCAGCATCTTTAGGAATACTAGAACTACCAGTACACGTACACTATAAAACTAGTGTTAGCAATGAAGTCGAATGCTATCATAGATTTTAAGATTACGCTGCTAGAAATAATTTTTGTCTCTGTGAATTGGGTCTCATTTCAGTTTCTTTAATCACAGCTAACAGTGTGGACTTCCCAGGATATCCTCCATCTCCGCATTATATCCGTGGTTATAATCATCCTTCTGGCTATGTATGTTCACCTCTCAAAGAGTAAGTGTTATTTATACATGTTTGCTTTAGCAGGGTTTCTGTCTTCATCTTAGGATTTGCTTCAGGATTCCTAGCTCATCAATAGAAATTTGTACCAACATACTGTGTTGGGAGAAAAAAATTGCCCCTAAAAGCAACTTTAAAAATAACTTTTTATATTTTTGTCTTACACATAAGAACTATAATTTACTATAAAATTTGTTTATAATTTACTATAAAATATGTTTTCAGTCTCTAGGCATAGCAAAATACACAAATATTTTCCCACAGATAAACCTTCCATGATGTTTCTATTTCTCCAGCATCAATTAAGAGATCTTTTAAAGATATGCATATATGCGCAGCACTAGGTGGACTCAGTCGGGTGTGTGTGTGTGTGTGAAACAATAATTGAGGAAAAGGTCACAAATTTGATAGGGGTGGGGAGAAGGATATAGGAAGAGCTGGATAGGGGAGAGGTAGAAATGATGCAGATACAGTACTACTTTATTTTCATGAACAATTCTAAAACAACATTAAAATTTAAATTAAAAAATAAAATAGAACTCCCTGAAATTACAGGACACATTTATGAATCATGAATGTTTTACCTTGAGTAAATTATTTACATGGATCACCTGCTTAAGATATCTACGGAGTGAAATATCCAGCAAGAATATTCATATAAAAACTGCCAAAATCAGGAATGAGGTACTGCTGACAGGTGGTCAACCAAAGGACAAAATGGTACTCTAAAATATATTCAATAAAAGCACATACTTCATTGAACTGGAGTATATACATGCTTACAAATCACCTCCATTATTTTTAAATTATGCTGTTATTATTAAATCACAATATTGACATATACATATAAAGTGAACATAAAAATTTTGATGGCAAAATATAAATTTATAATAAGAGACAATGTATTTGTAGTTTTAGTACTGTATTCCTTAATGCTTTTTCTACTGAAAATCTATTTTAAACATAAGTGAACAGAGTTAATACTGCACATAGTCAGAAGAGGAACAGTAACATGGGGTCTTCCACTTCTTGGTCAGTTTTAAATTTGTGACCAATATCTTATGCTCCCAGCAGAACAAAATTAATCAACTGCTGCTCCCAATGAATGAAGAGAATTGACGTTTGGCAGGATCTCTGATGGTGTAGCTAACGTGTGTAGGGTCAGACTCTGCCCCCATCCGACTGGGGTAATCTTAGTCGCGTTCTCATAGAACGGAAAAAGAAACCATGGTTCTTCGTCTTTTCTTCCTATGAAGTCTAATGTTGTAGACAGGGCATTTGGAATGGAGCTGTGCAGAACATTTGTCCAACACTGTCCATTCTGAATCACTCGCTCAAACAGCAGATGTGTGTGATCCCATAGTAAACTCCAGTCGAGCTTCGGGGCTGACAGAAATCATCTAAACTCTTTGTAGGGAGATGTAGATGTAACACTCCTGTGACCGCTTACTGCGGTCTTAAAATAGTACTGTGAACTTCTGCCTCCATATTTTTAAGCTGACATAGAATTTAACATAAACAAAAGGTGAACATTCTAAAATATCCTAAATATTGCTATACGTACATAGATCTGTAGCCCGTATAAATTAATCCAATAGAACCTATATGCCGTAACCACCTGAGTCCACTATAACGCTGCTCCTACCATAAAGCCTTCCCTGCTGTGCTGGTTAGTGCCTTTTGATCACCACTTTTCCCCTTGAATTTGCATTTAGGATATTTCCTCTCACATGGTAATTTGCTAATGGAATAGTTGTATAGCTTTGAATTTTTCAAATCACCTTATAATTTTTTATAAAACATAGTATGAATTAAAAGTTTTCAAATGTGTTTTCTGTGACCATAGTATCTAAGGATTAAAACTGCATGTGTAGCTGGGCGTGGGCATTTGAGCCTGTAGCCCTAAAACTTGGGCAGTGAAAGCAGGAGGATTGCCATGAGTTCAAGGCCAGGCTGAGATGCAAGGCCAAACTCTGTCTCAGAGAACGGGGAAATTAATAAAAGTAATTATATAACTATAAACATGATGTTGGCCTGGCCAACTTCTATATGATGGTTTTCATTTTATCTTGTTATATTTTATTTTGTTATGTTTGTCGTTATCTTCTAGAAACCTGTTCTTTCCTAATGAGGAAGGAAGGGAAAGTAGGGAGGGCTGGGAGAAGGAGAGGGAGGGGAAACTGTATTCAGATTATATTATACGAGAAAATAATCTATGTTTAATAAAGGGGAAAATATAAATATATCTCAGTGAAAACTACACATATATGCAGTAACAAATGGATATAATTTTCATTTCACTGTGTTTCATTTTTAATAGAGGCAGATATTGTATTTCTTATTAAGTAAACAACCTACATGTATAAAAGTGCACATAAACAGGAGTAGAGCAGATGCTCAGAGAAAAGAAAAGGCGTGCATTCTGAGGATTGGATAAATAGCAAAAGAAAGGGTAACTAAAGCTAAGGTTTTAGTATACATTTTGGCTACTTAATACTTTAAATAGGATTTTTATTTTATAAGGATGTGACGTCAGGTCACTGTCCCTTCCCCCTTTAGGTTAACTGTCTTTGTCATATGCACAATAGAAAGAATCAAAAAGGATAAACTTGAGACTTCTGCTCTCTATAAACTTGTCACTTCATAAGGTCAAGTTATGAATGCTTTATCTGTTGTAACTCTATTTGTTTACAGAAACCCAGCATATTCCAAGCTAGTGATTTTTGTCCAGACAGAAATGAGAGGAAAACTGCTTCCATCGATAATTGAAAAATCTATGCCTTCCAACTTAGTGAGCTTCTTCCTCAATGCGAAAGATGCTATAAAGGCACATAAAATCCCATCAATACGCGGACGTCACAGTGGGCACCCATCAGTTACACCCATCAGTAAATAAAGCCATCTGCCATTAAACCAAAGAGATTTCCCACCGCACGAACTGCTGGCATGTGTAGTTTGTTACTGCAGGCGATTTCCAAGTCTATATGCATGCATCTGTTGTACATCTCTAGACACCAGTTCTGTACAGAGTTCTTGAAACATTTTGTCAAAAGAAGAACTTCATTTTACAAGAAAACCCCATTAAATAGTTTTTCATCTCACATGACATTAAATAATGTGCTATTAATACACTTTGCCCACCTGAATATGCTCCATATTCAGATCATAAACAAACACATACAGGCTGGGCAATGGTGGCACACACCTTTAATCCCACACTCAAGAGGCAGAGGCAGGCGGATCTCTGAGATGGAGGCTAACCTGGTCTACAAAGCGAGTTCCAGGACAGCCAGAGCTGTCACACAGAGAAACTCTGTCTTGGAATAATAAAAACAAGCAAAAAAAAAAAAAAAAAAAAAAACAAATACAGTCAGCAACCAGCATTAATTAGAAATTAATTAAGTATTCGTCGGGGGATGGTGGCAAGCACCTGTAACCCTGGCACTAGAGAGACTGAGATGGGCTAGCACAATGAGACCAGCCTGAGCTACACAGAAAGACCTTATCTCAAAAATAAATGAAAAGTATATTTTAAATTACTTTTCCTTCACTTACTGCTTAATTGAAAATTATGGAGGTTTGAACATAAGAATTGAAAAGAACCCCACTCGGGAGCTCAGACTGCATCTTAAGGGCAGAATAACTGCCTACCACTTAATGATCCTGGATGACCCTGAATTCCATCGTTAGCACCGGAAAACAGTAAGCGCTCCGTTCCAGTACATGACCAATGATGCTTATCTGAGCCTCCGTTTCCACTGGGGGATCAACAAAGTTGAGAGCCACAGAGCTAGTATCCTTCTATTTCCATGTCCTTCGTCCTGCGGTGTCATCTGTGCCACCTGGAGAGACAAGCTCACACTCCCACTGCAAACGGAACGCACATATGTAAATCATTGGCCACTTCTAAGAAGGTATCAGCAAGGGCCCGATAGAGAAAAAGCTCCTCTGACCAGCTCCTTTGCTAATTACAGCTAACAGCGATGCTGCTTTTTTTTTTTTTTTTTTTTTTCCCCAAGACAGGGTTTCTCTGTAGCTTGGGAGCCTGTCCTGGAACTAGTTCTTGTAGACCAGGCTAGTCTCAAACTCACAGAGATCCACCTGACTCTGCCTCCCAAGTGCTGGGATTAAAGGTTTGCACTGCCACTACCTTCTTAAAGGACCCATCTGACAAAGAACCCTCCCCTAAAATAGACAGGAAGCTTTCCAAATAGGGACTATAAAAGCAGTTCAGTTAAAAACACCGAGAAAGATATGTGATTGAAAACAAACTCAATATATATATATATACATATATATATGTATATATATATATATATATACACATATATATATATATTCCACAACACTAGCCACTAGGTAAATTAAAGTAACATTCAAATTGAGGTGTCAGCACACTTACCAGAATGGCAGGAAACCTTAAAAGTAACGATAGAATCAAGTGTTGGCACACATTCAGAAAACGCCAACACCCTTATTTCGTTGTTGTTTTTTTTTTTTTGAGTTTTTAAAATATTTATATTTTTGATAATTCCAAACATAAGTACAACATTTACATAATTTCTATTTCCACATTGCCCCTCCAATTCCTCCCATGTCTCCCAACTGCCTTTTTATTTTTGTTATTGTTGATTATGTATATTATATATGTATAATGATATGTATATGTAAGTACAATTGGTGAGATCATTTGGTGTTGCTCATACATACATGTATTTAGGGGTGACCACGTGGGGTTGGATAATCTCTCAGGGTGCCTATCTCTAGAGAACGCTGATTCTCCATCTCTTAGTAACTATTAATTGCATATCACTCTTCATCTGAAGGCGATGACATAAATCTTTTGTGAGATTTCCCCCACAACTGTGGGATGTTAACTAATTGTGGAGGTCATGTTTAGGTGACGATATTATTAAGATTTTGTGACTACAGCTCCCTGTCATAATGGAAGACATTAGCTCCTAGAACACTTGCTGGCCTTCTGGTTCATAGAATCTTTCCAGCCCTTCTGACATGTTTCCTAAAGCTTATGTGTAAGTTTAGATGTCTTAGTGGGGGGCGGGCACCCCAGTTACTTCTCTGCACTTTGACCAGCTGTAAATGTCGGCCACAGCTGTGGTCTACTGAAGCAGAAGCCTCTTTGATGAGGACCAAGAGCTACACTTGTCTGTAGAAATAATTATAGGTATTGAGAATGTAGTTGGAAATTCTATTCGTTTAGGAAATTGGCAGCAGTAAGTTTTCTTCCTGGGTCCATAATATCACCAATCACAGTTAGTTGACTAAGTTTATACTACCAGACACAAAATCCCTCTTATAAGAGCAGCCTGAAGTCCAATTAGGACCAACACCCTTATTTCATCCAGCTGTCTGGATACTCAGGACTCTTCCAAGAGTTTATTTTCTTTTTTAAATTCATTTTCTGAGACAGAAATCTCCGCTTTCATGGAGGCCAATTACTGTAGGAATTAATACAAGAGGGCAAAGATTGACTTGGTTTTTTCTGTAACTTGGGCTTTTGTGTTGGGATTTGCTCACTTGGTGTTAGATCATTGAGTATTTGAATTAATTATTTGATATTTTTGCTCACCGTTGGCACTGTTCAGGGGTACCAGGTTACTGCTAATGCCCTAGGAGATGAGACATATGGAGCATCGGTGGGATGCTGGGCTCACTAGACTGACTGACAGGGCTCTCTGGAATGCTGTCCTCATTGAAGCAGCAGGCAGGACCAAGTCTTCCTGGGTGTGCTGCTATGCTGGCCTGGTCAGTGATGGGGCCAGATCTTCCTGAGCACACAGTCTCCATTTCTCCCTTCAGATGGTTAGAAGAAGGCAATGCACTACACGGGCTCTCATTCCCAAAGCCACCCTCACCCTTCATCAGTTCAAGGCTGGTCCACTGAAGAAGCGACCACTGGGACCTCTCAGCCTCCAACCAGGTGCATCAGACTGAATCTTCAGACTGAAAAGAAAGACAAACATACCAATGGGGATGAATAAACCACTCAATAATAGTGAAAGTTAAACAAGGGAGGAATAAGGAAACACCAAATACTACAACATCAACAAAATCAGAGGAAACTATACACATTTTTCAACAACTCATCAGTGGTCTCAATTCTGCAGTCAAAAGGCATATATACTAGTATACAGGATCCTTTTGCTATTCTGAGGACACACAAAATGGGGGAGTCCCTGAATTAAATGCCATAATAGACCAAGTAAACTTAAAGATATCTGCAAAGCATTTCATACAAACACTTGAGAATATGCAGCTCATGAAACTCTCTAAAACACACACACACACACACACACACACACACGTCCACATAGAGCAAATCTTAACATGTATGAGAAGTGAGTTATTCCTTGTATTCTGTCTGAGCACAGTGGAATAAAGCCACAAGAAAACTAGAACCTTCAGAGAGTCAAGATAAAACAGCGCAGAGCTGAATGGGGAAATCAAGATGAGAGCATTACACTCCGCTGTGCTGCCTTCAGAGCATGGCTGGGGTGAAGTCTTCACAAAGGCCATCACAGCCAGAGACGTCTCAAATGCTTTTCCTGTCTGAGCTCGAATTTTCGGTGATTGCACATTCAGAAGCCTTTCACTATTGCCAAATTAGTGACGCCCACACAGCGTCAGTCATGTGGACTCTGTGTGGACTGGAACCCACAGTTTAAGGATGGGTGGGGGAGGATCTGGGAGGAGATAAGGGAAGGGAAGCTATAACCAGAATACAGCATATGGAAAAAAATTCAACAAAAAAGTGAAAGGAAAAGGAGAAGAAGGAGAAGACGACTGTGAGACTGACAGACACGACGGCAGACACTTGAACAATAAAGCTGAGGAAAGGAGCCTCTTAAAAAAGCAAATTTGATTCGTTAATCCTATGCAGTTAAAGGCCACTAGGGGGCGCGCTTCACATTTTGCTTGTAAATAGCTTAGGCCCAAACCAAAGGTTTGGTCTGTTTTCCAGCAGCTTCCTCAACGTTATTACAACTTTTACTAACAATTTCCTCAAACCCTTGTTACTTAAAAGCCTAAATATGTCTTTTATTTTAGTGGGGCAGCCCAGCATTTCTAGATACCAACCTTTGTGCGATTACTTTCAAATATCCGTAAAAAAAACGTTGTTCCATTATAAAATGAACCATATAATGCATTTTCTGAATATTTTGATATTACCTGTCAATTCTAATTCTTTGAAAGCTCATATTTTTGCATAAAATTGTTTTACATTCATCATTTCAATATTTTGCAACAAAAGTTGTTTATATGTGGTAGAATCTGATGAGGAGTACTCACCAAATATTAATCACCATATTCTAAAGTTCCAAATGGACATCATCGTTTGCCAGTGAGACTGGAATCACTGAGAAGACATCGTGGGAAGCTGCAATGGTTACATGACGATTGCACGCACAGTTTCCTAGGATACCACTAACAATGCTGAAGTATGATTACTCAGTCATCCAAAACTAAATACCAAACTTAGTCGAACACCAAGGCTAAAACACAGTAAACAGGGATACTACAAGTATGTGCCTCCAAACTCTTTTCATTACGAGGGTAAAGTGTAATCATCAAACCAAATGACCTGAGGACTGAGCTGTATATAGTTCAATGGTAGAGTGCTCCTTCGCCATGCTGGAGGCCCCAGGCTCAGTCACCAGCACCACCATCTCTCGCAGTAACTCCTCCCAAAAAGCAAGCTGGCGTTCTACCAACTGAAAGACAGTCTGTTCTAATTAACATCTCAAATATGTTATCTTTGCTGTTATGAAACTACTGGGTTTCATCTCGATAAATCAGGCACTTGCTGAATTTTCTTCCTTTTATAATTTGAAACAAATGACTATTGCAAAATGACCATTTTTAAATGTCTAATATCTACATAAATAACATATTTGATATGTATCCTAATGCAT